TGAAGACTGGAAAAATCCAGGTTCGGTAAAGCAAGCGTTTTTTAAAAATTTTTTTTGCAGGTTTAATAGTAAGTGCCATGTGGCAGTGAGGTGGCATATTGAGTGCCATGTATCTTAAACGGTCAAATTTAACGTTCAATAACAGCCAAAATGACATCGCTATAATCTGTAAACTTCCAAGGCAACATTGCTTAAAATAAAAATTCAGATACTCACAACTTCCTTAAATATAAGTCGCTAATACATACCTCACATATGTTTAAAAATGAGATAAAGATACATAGCTCAACTAATGAAATTTTGTAACATAATTCAATTATTTTCCATTATTTCACCTAATTAAAATAGTTTTTTCTTCTTGAAAATTAAAAAACAAAAATGAAAAAAATTATGTTTCAAGTAATGAGATAAATAATAGATAAATAAGAAAAAAATTTATGCAACAATATTTCAAATTAGTAGCAATACCAAGCATTGAAAACTGATTCTCCTTTATATATATGATAATTATATTTTATTCATATTAAGTTAAATAATAATTAGTTCACATGTAAAATAGATCAGTACGTGTATTTGGGCTAATCCAAACCTAAATGGGCTTAACCTTATCTTTTTGGGTTCCTGCATAGGCTAACTTAAAAGCCCTGACTTTTTGTTTTTTGACTAGGTAAAAGCCCTGGTTATTAATTTAACTTTTCTAAGTTTAAAAGCCCTGATTTTTTTTTTTTTTAACTAGGTAAAAGCCCTGGTTATTAATTTAGTTTTTCTAAGTTTAGTCCTAAAATTTTGAGAACATTATAATTAGGTCTCACCTAAAAGAATTAAATACAAAAAGGTCTTTTAAAAGTTAAAATCATCAAATTATTCTGAAGTCTCATCCCAAGGGACTTCATTGTAAGAGATTCTGTTTATTTAATTACCAAATTGCCCTCATTATTTTTTTTTTAAATTTTGTATTGACAACAGAAAGAGCAGTCATTAACAACTTAGGGTGTAAGGATTAACAACTATCGCGATAGTTATTAACAACTCATACATTATATTTTTGTGATGCGTTGAGAAAATGTGTTGTCAATACTTGCCACGATAGTTGTTAATCATTACACCTTAAGTTGTTAATGACTGTTATTTTAGTTGTTAATGTAAAATTAAAAAAATAATAAGGATAATTTGGTAATTAAACAAATAAAATATTTTGCAATGAGGTCCCTTGGGATTTTAAAACAATTTGATGATTTTAAAGGATATTTTGGTATTTAATTTTCTTAAGTAGGACTTTATTGTAATTTTTTCTAAACTTTTTCATACTCACTAACTCAAATTACCGGGTCTAATTTTCTGGGGACACGCAACAACCAAGGGCATCCCGAAAGTTGTCGACATTAGTATTTATTGCCATAATAACTAAGTATTTAATTATGTTTATCAGATACTATTCATCAAAATATGAACCCATTTAATTTATTTAGCAAATCAATCATTTAAAGAATTATATTCAAAATTTGTAAAAGCATATCTATGATATTTATTTCTTACATGAATGATTAAATACTCATTGTATGAAATATATTATTTCCATGTAATTCATCTTGGGTTTGCATATATATTCCAAGCCAGTCTCCTTCCTACATATAACAAAAACAATATTTTCTGCTGCTGATAGCCTAAAACAAAAGATCAAAGAAAATGGCAAAAGTTTCACACAATTTGGTTTGCTTAATGGTTTTATTTATCATTGCATCAGGTAGCTCTCTCTCTCCCCTTCCCCTACCTTCTTTTTACGAAGTTCATGACTTAATAAAAGTGTATATTTTTATAAATTTTACGTTATATATATTTTTTGGAATTGATTTCAAAGATTAGGGGAATTCATAGATATTTCTTACAATGACAAAACGAAAGGGCGAACATGTGTGGCATAAAGATTGGGATAAAAAATTTATATACAAGTTTAGACTAAAAATGAATCTTTATAATTTTGAATTGTCAAATCCTCTGACTCAATCATACTAATTAACCACTTCCTTTAAATCTCTTTTAAGTGTGAGATTGTAGGTCTGACCCCTTAATGAGCATGATGAGTGTGTGAGTTGTTTTTGATGGATGAAAAATGGGGAGAAAACATTGAATCATGGTATTAAGAGGAATTTTTGTATTATACATATGTAGAGTTGTTTTCCCGAGATTGATGCTCTACAGATGGAGAGGTTACAAAAAGAAGTTAGGGAAGAGGAAGTTAAAGAAGCTATTTTCAGCATGGGGGCACTCAAATCACCGGGTCCTGATGGTTTGAACGCCCTCTTCTTCCAAAACCAATGGGAATCTGTGGGCACCTCGGTGATAAATTTAGTGAAGCAAGCCTTTACCAACCCAACAACCATCGGGGCCATTAACCACACCTACATTGTCCTTATCCCCAAAAAGGATTGTCCGGAGACTATTAGAGACTTTCGCCCTATAAGCCTTTGCAACGTGGTGTATAAGACTATTACAAAAGTGGTTGTCAACAGGATGAAGCCCTTCCTACCGAGCATCATTTCTCCAAATCAATGCAGCTTTGTCCCTGGCCGAACCAGTTCTGATAATATTGTTGTTGCACAAGAGGTCATCCATTCAATGAGAACCATGACAGGTAAAAGAGGATTCATGGCCATCAAGATCGACTTGGAAAAAGCCTACGACCGTATCCGGTGGAATTTTGTGATGAACTGCCTCGAAGACATAAAGCTGCCAGAGACCTTGCGCAAAGTCATTTATTCCTGTATCTCCACACCGTCTATGCAAATTCTGTGGGAAGGAGATAAAGCTGATAACTTCAATCCTACTCGAGGACTTCGGCAAGGCGACCCGCTCTCGCCCTACCTTTTTGTCCTTTGCATGGAAAAACTAGCACACATCATTCAAAACGAAATGACTAAGGGACAATGGAAACCCATTAAACTCGGTAAGCATGGCCCTCCCATATCTCATTTGTTTTTTGCTGATGATTTGCTCATTTTTACAGAAGCCAATTTAGAACAGGTAGAAGTGATCAAAAAGTGCCTTACTAGCTTCTGCGAGGCGTCAGGACAAAAAATCAATCAAAGCAAAACCAAAGTCTTATTCTCTAAAAATGTCCACCACTTGAGAGCAGCCCAACTAAGCACTGAACTTGGCTTCTCCCAAACAACAGACCTTGGGAAGTACTTGGGAGTTCCCCTCCACCATGATAGAGTTTCTAAAGAAACGTATAGCTATATTGTTGACAAAGTCAAGAGCCGTCTCAGTAGCTGGAAAATTAATACTCTCTCCCTCGCCGGTCGTGGCACTTTAATCAAATCAGTGATTAATGCCATGCCTATGTATGCGATGCAAACAGCGTGCCTACCTGACAACACTTGTGCCGCTATAGAAAAAAGAGCCCGTGACTTCCTATGGGGGTCATCAGATGAGCAAAGACGAATGCACCTTATTGCTTGGAAGGGAGTGTGCAAGGAAAAAAACCGTGGAGGCCTTGGCATGCGACATATAAAACAGCAGAACTATGCTTTCATGATGAAACTCGGTTGGGGGCTCATCCACAAACGAGACTCCCTGTGGGCCCAGGTCATTCGCCACAAATACGGCTGCGGCAATGATATACTACCTCACATCAATCTAAAGAAAGCAGGTTCGAACACTTGGAGAGGCATTAAGAATAGCTGGGAACATGTGAGAACAGGCCTTCAAGAAGCACAAGATAGACAGGGAAATACCGTATATCGATGGAAATGGAATAAAAGTGGATCCTTTACTACTAAATCTGCCTACATGGCACTGAATACTGACAGAGACGTGCCTAGGTACCATTGGGGAGGCATCTGGAAACTTAAAATTCCTGAGAGATGTAAAACTTTCAGTTGGATCCTCCAGCACGAGCGCTGCATAACAAACAAGAGGAAATTCAGACGAGGACTGCACGAAACGGGGTTATGTGACAGGTGTAAGCAGGAAACAGAAGATGAACTGCATGCACTTCGAAACTGTCTGGATGTCAAGAAGTTCTGGGCGGCGATAATTAAACCAGAATTTCAACATAGCTTCTTCTCTTATGAACTACAGGATTGGATCCGGTTGAACAGGAGGAAAAACGTGAGCTTCGTTGAAGGTCACTGGGCCAGCATCTTCTCCGTAATTTGCTGGCTCCTCTGGAAAGCAAGGAACGATTACGTTCACTCAAGTACTGTGACGGACTTCTCTTCGCTGCACGTTAGAGCCGAGGCGATCATAAACTGCATGCAGAGCGCCATGACAACCCTCCGAGGAGCAAACATAAACACCCCTCTAAGGCACGTTTCTCGAGTAAGCGATGTAAACTGCAGCAACAAGATCATAGTAGAAGTCGATGGGGCGTTCTCTTACACTCACCGAAAGGCTGCATGCGGAGGCATTATCAAGAACACAGACCACGTAATTCTTGAAGGCTTTATTCACAGGCTGGAACAGGGTGATAACTTAACCGCAGAACTGTGGGGCTGTTTGTGGGGCCTTAAGAGAGCCTGGGACCTGGGAGAAAAAGATATTATACTACGGAGCGATTCAGCTGAGGCCATCCAAACGATCACAGGCGCAGAAAATCCTCTCCATGAGGACTGGAGTGTAGTTGCCGAAATACAGAACTTACTCAACCGAGAGTGGCGAGTGGAACTACAAAACATTAACCGAGAATCTAACGCCATGGCGGATGCACTTGCAAAGAAGGCGCTGGAGGGGAGTGTCGACTTCCAAATCCTAAGCAGAGAAACTGCACTGGAATACATTGCGGCTTTGGATATCTCTTAGTTTCTGCCTTTTTGACTTGTCTGATTGTCTTTTTCAATTTCCCACCTATCAAAAAAAAAAATAAATATATAGATTATTGACCCTCTAAAGAAATTATTCATAAAAAATAAAAAATTAATAATTAGGGTTTACGTATTTCTGTTTCTCTTATGTAGGAACAGTGCCAAAAATAAGAGCACAAGGGCAGGCATGTGTGAAGAATGAAGATTGCATCCCGTTCTGCGATCCCAAAAAATGTGATGCACCCGGCCCAGTCAGCCACTGCAAGGCTGGTTTCTGTGTTTGCTGTGAGGGACCTCCCAATTTAATTTGATCATCGTCACCACATTGCTTCAATGATGATAACAATCGTACTACTCTCATCTATGCTTCGGATCTCAAATAATCAATAAGAATGTTATATCCTTATTTTGGAATAATATATTCAGCCGTGTCCTATATATTTGAATTGCTTTTATAACTTTTGTTTTGAATTAAAGAGGCAAACATTAATGGCTTAAGACTAATAAGATTTAATCCAATTAGTAAAGAGTCGATTTATAATATATAAAATTATGAGTTCGAATTCTACTACCAATATGAGAATCTTATTGTTAGGTGATTTGTAAGTATTTTTATAAACATTTTCTGAGCCTAGAGGGATGTCCTGGTTTTGATAAGCACCCGGGATGCCATTATGCAACAAGACCACTGGCATAAAAACTATTTATTAATTGTTAATTATTTTTTAAGTATAAATTAATTAAAAGTGGCTTGTAATTTTAAGGTGGGTGAGTATCTCACAGTCTGTACCATTTCATGTTATCAATGAGGTGATGGATGGATTTAAGCGACCCTACGAAAAACAGGATCATATAATTAAATCAATTATATATAAATAAGAAGACCCCAAATTTTTAAAATTACTCTCAAAAACTTGACAAAAAAGCACTACTTAAAAAACTTGAAAAAATCATACAAAGGACATATGTAGAAAGAATTCGCACGTGCCAATCCAAAATTTAATTTCTCTATTTAAATTTTAATGGGACGCAATTTTGTTATGTCCGATACATATAATAGTTGATAACAATATATTAAATAACATTACAACGTCACTCGATAGGATTAAAAAACAAAACAAAAATCAAGTCACAAGTGTTTTCAAAACTTAGCTGTCAATTTCAAATTGTCTTGTATCGGGTTGAAAAATTTATATTAAAAATTTACAAATTATAGAAAAGATGCATAAATGCCACTTTTCAATTCAATAGCTAAATACATTTACGATGCGCTGTATTATACTACCTCGGGTTTTTAATATAAGAACTAGTTAACTAATTTGAGTAAATTAAGAAAGTTTGTTAAGTTAATTATTTGCAATAATTAGGTATTATTTTTCCTAGAATACCCTTACTAACCATATGTATTAGCTATAACTACCATTTGATTAGATTTTTAACATGTGCAATTACTACAAAGACTACTTTGAAAAAATAGATAAATATGAGAGACAAAATAGATTGAAATCTTATATTTAGAACCAAAATGAAAGTCAAATTAGTTTTTATATTAAGAACATGAAGTAGTATTAATGAGTTTTCCCCGCTAATAGCAAAAAAAAAGTTTTTTCTCCAATTCAAATTTTTTAAAAAGTTGAAATGCAAATTTACTCATGCAGTAATTTGACAGAGGCGCTAAATACGATAAACTTTTTTTTTTGGGTGCAAAAATACTTAAAATGTTTTAAAATTGGTGTAAAAATGTCACAGTCATTAACTCAACCAACATTTACCGTTTAACAAACATGTCAATCATAACTTATATTATAATTATACTGTTCTTTCATCGCACATTTTCTCTTTTTTTTTCCCTTTGTAAATTTTATAACCTCAATTATGTAGTGTTTTAATCGGACTTATTAAAAAAATTTTCCTTCCCCTTCATTCCCCCTAATCGAATAAAGAATAAATGTCTTTGGGAATCGCATGCGGCATGAAATCTAGTTAATTTTATGAAGAAGGTATTTTAAATGATGTTAACTACAATTTTTTGTTCATGAATATTTTTTTTTATATTTCTAAAATATTTTTTAAAGAAAGTTTCAGGTTGGGTCAAAGTCCGATGCTCTCATTTAGGCACCGATATTGGCTTGTCTTGCACATCGAGTTAGGCATTGGGTTGAGGTCAATTTCAGCCCAACCCTACTCATGCGCAAGCCTAATTATGTAGGATCCGTTGTTTTTCCACTAAAATACTGATACTTACGCATTGTTCTTTCTCTTAATTATTTAAAAGCATCATTTTTCTTCAAAAATATATTAATTATTACTACCTCTAGTTTTAATATAAGATCTAATTGATTAATTTGAAAAGATTAAGAAAATTACTAAATTACTTAATTATAACATTTGTTACATGATCTCTTTAAAATATTTATGTGGACCATTAAATTATATATCAATTTATAAGTAAGACAAATTTAAAAATATATATAAATAGTTTAAAGTAATTTAGTAACTTTTTTTTAATTTTTTCAAATTAATCAATTGAGTTTTATATTAAACATCTGACGTGGTATATAAATAAGGTGGTGTTCTTAATGTTGATGTCGGCACCAAACAATTGGCCAAACGATGCATTCCCTATTCCTAATTACTAATTACTAAAGTAAAGAGCCCCACCTGTGATGATAATCATAATATGAGCTGTTAAGCATGATTTGCCATCTCAAGTGCCACCTGAAGGAAAGAGGAGAGAAACGCTCTAGCCACCAACTCTGTCATGTTAAAAGCTAATAGAAAATATTTAGTAGGAAGGAAGAAAACTGGACAAAGATAGAACAAGAAATTGAGAAGGTGCTAATGCTCCGCTATTGAGAGGTAAGGTATAGATGGACGAAAGTCTTCCTTTGGTTGTTTGGGTGCTTCCGGGAAATTATTGCGTAATTGAAATTCAAAATATCGACTACTTTCTTGGCAGAAAACTCAATGATGATTTATACAAAAAAGTGCTTGTCATGCTTATTTCTAAGTATTAATTATGAATTTAGAAATATTGGGAAAAAAACTAAAATACTCCCATTTGCAAGAAAAAGAAAAGAAAAGAAATCAGATCTTGTCGGAGACCCACCAGCATCCAGCCACCATCGGCAGTGGGCCGTCCGCAGGGACCGGAGCTCTGGCAATAGCCACCGGTGAGTTGGCTGCGGATGTGAGGTTTTGGAGACTCAATTATATAATTTTGAGTTTGAGCTGAAAACTCTCATTTTTTTCAGCCTCAACTATACTTAAAACTTGAATTTGGCATTGATATTGGATGTTCAATTGTTCTAAAGAAATATTTTTTATTATCAAGATTAATAACACATAAATGCAAGACTATCCTTAAAGATGAAAAAGGTTACCAATCTAAAAGAATCATCACATACGCACAGGAACACAGGCACATGCGTGCGTGTACACTTTTTTAAACGCAAGTCAGCAGAAAAATTATAATTCTGAGAGTCCTTAATGAGATAGAAATCTTTTTAATTTATTAAGGGGACAATTCAAAAATGCAAAGGGATCATGAAAAAAATTGAAAAATTATTCACAATGACCAAATTCAGAAACTATTTATTCTAAAGGCTTTTAAGTATTAAACGCTTGAACTAAAAGAGACGTTGTCCAACTGGAGAATTACATTATTTTCACTCATACCAGCTTAAACTAAAAGAGATGTTGATGGGCAAGAAATTCTTTCTCGTTCTTGACGATGTCTGGAACGAGAATTGGCAAATTTGGGAGGTCTTCACAGCTCCTTTGAAAAATGTAGCACCACAAAGTAAGATTCTTGTCACAACCCGTAATGGAACCGTAGCAGAAGTGATGTGTTGTGCCTCCACATATCCTTTGAAGCCATTACAAGATAGAGATTGCTGGGATTTATTTGCAAAACATGCATTTAACGACCAACATTATGGTGCAAATCAAGATCTTGTACAAATCGGTAGAGAAATTGTCAACAAGTGTGGAGGATTGCCTTTAGCAATTAAAACACTGGGAAGATTGTTGCACAAAAAACTCTCTTTTCAGCATTGGAAAATTTTTTTGAAAAGTGAGATTTGGGGGTTATCAGAAAATGATAGTAATATTATCCCGTCTTTAAGATTAAGTTACCATTATCTACCTTCAAATCTGAAACATTGTTTTGCATATTGCTCTATCTTTCCTAAAGATTATGATATGGACAAGAATGTGCTAATCCAATTATGGATGGCAGATGGTTGAATATATCCTCCTCAAAAAGGTATGAGCCTTGAAGAAGTGGGTGATGAAATTTTTAATGATCAAGGGTCTAGATCTCTCTTTGAGCCATTAGAAAAAGGTTACGATTACTTCATAATGCATGATCTTGTGAACGATTTGGCAAACTCCGTGGCAAGAGAGTTTTCTGTGCAGCTAGAGGAGGATTAGGTACAAGATATGTCATCCAAGATTCGCTACTTTTCATATATAGGCAACACTTATCAAAATCTTGTGAGTTTTGACAAAGTTTTCAAATGCCACCGGTTACGTAGTTTCATCCTATTTGACATTTTTTACATTGGTGACGATCTAATGTCTAGACTCTATCATCTCAAGTACGTACGAGAATTATCGTTGGAGGGTTTTGGAAATTTGACAAACTTGACAGATGCCATTAGCAGTTTAAAGCGCTTGCATTATTTGGATCTTTCCTGGACTTTAGTTCAGAAATGGCCAAATTCAATATGCTTGTTGATTAATTTACAAACTTAGAAATTAAGAGGTTACTATTGCTTGACTGAGTTGCCATCAAATTTCTACAAACTCATCAACTTGCATCACCTTGACTTGGAAGATTGTGGCATATGGAAGATGCCAAGATATATGGGAAAGTTAAAGCAGCTCCGAACAATGAATAAATTTGTTGTGGCAGAAGAAGGAGGATCAAATATAAAAGAATTAGGTGCCTTGAAGAGCCTAACAGGCTCACTAACCATCTCAAATATGAGAGGCATAATTGATCCTACAGATCTGAGAGACGCCAATTTGAAAGAAAAGAAATTGGATACACTAACATTGCTCTATTGTGAGGATAATTACAATCGTGAAGAGGGACAACACGAGGAGCACATATTGGAAGCACCTGAGCCAAATCAGAGTGTGAAAGAGCTCACCATTGAGGGATACAGAGGTACCAAATTTCCAAAGTGGCTTGGTGTTGAACATTTTTTAGTGTCTTTATCTTTGTCGAGTTACGGCAACTGTGTGAGCTTACCACCACTTGGGCAACTACCTTCCCTTGAAAAACTCACGATTAATGGATTTGATGGAATAAAGGTGATAGGTGAAGACTTCTATGGGAATGGCTCCTTAATTGCTCCACCATTTCCTTCCCTCTCATATTTGAAGTTTTCTTACATGAGAGAATGGTAAGAATGGGATATATGTTATGAAGGTGAAAGCTTCCCATGCCTTGAACAACTTTATATAGAAGATTGTCCCAGACTGACAAAGTCTCTGTCTCAACACCTTCCTTGTTTAAAAAAAAAAAAATTCAACATTCAGGAATGTGAGAATTTGGAGGCCACACTTCCCAAGTCCTCTTCCATAGAAATGCTATCTTTAAGTCATTGTGAGAGGATATCAGTAAAAGACATGCCCACATGGAGCATCTTAGACATGCTTCCACCTCTTCATGCCTTATCTTTATGGAATTGTCCAGCAATGGAATCTCTTCCCCAAGGAGGTATGCTTTCCAGCCTACAACGTCTTTTAATCCGTTGGTGTTCTAAACTCATTGCGTCTCGTGGTGATTGGGGTTTGCATGAGTTGTTGTCTTTGAAACAACTTGAAATTAGTGATCGCTTCTTGGAGTGGTTCCCTGAAGAGGGATTGTTGCCGCCTAATCTCCAATCTCTATCATTTTGGGAGTGCAACAATTTGATAGGGGTCTTGTGCACCTCCATTCTTTCACTTCCTTATCATTTTACGATTGCTCTCGCATGAGTTTTGAAGGCATGCCACACGATGGTTTACCTGCATCCCTTTCTCACTTAACAATTTCTCATGATTGTCCGTTGCTGAAGGAGAGGTGTGAACAGGAGAAAGGGCCAGATTGGCCTAAAATTGCTCATATCCCTCATGTACTCATTGACTGACCACAAGACTCTCTAAAAGGTGCTTCCTCTATACTTATTTATAACAGATGCTGGGCTTCCTCTATTTACATGCCATTAGATTTTGCTTTTATGTGTTGCAGTCTATGTGTGTGTGCGCGCGTGCTCGCGCCCAGACACCATACTATCTACATACCAGATTATATGCACCATATATATCAATATTCATACTATATGTCTCATTCTGTCTTGTATGTCCTTCTTGATGTAGAAGAGACCCAAAATATCATTTGCTCTGCACATAAAAGGTTAATTAATTAAGGATTGGAATGCATGCCTTCAAAATTGAGTCGCTTTATACATAGCTCAAGAATAATACGATTTATTAAAAGTTTTTAAAAGAAAATTTTCAGAGTCGTGATTCTGTATGTATAAAAATTAAAATGTCATCTTATTACCAAAAAAAAAAATTAAAATGTCATCCTCACTAATAATATTATCAAAACTAAATTAAGGCCAGAAATGAAAAACTATTTATATTTTTAACACAGTTTTTATTGTGTGGGTCTAGGATTTGTCGTTTGTCCCAAAAATAAATGTGGCACCCATGAAGACTGCAACGCAATGTCTGGTTCCAGGAAATGTTCTGGTTTAGTCAACAAGTGCTATGGTGGTTGATGTGTTTGCTGTCGGAAACTTCTTTCTTTTTGTTTTTGTTTTTTGTTTTTGTTTTTTTTTTAATTTTTCCAGAGAAACCTCTTTCTTGTTCTTCTTTGGCAGCAGATCACTTTAACCAATTTAAATAATTAGTTCTCTGTTGCTTGATCCATATTTGTGCTACTTTTGTGTTCCAGATCTGAAATAAATATCAATAGCAATGTTCATATACCATCGTGAACAAAATGAGCAAAGTTGCTGTATTATGTTTGAATAAACATGGCTTTAAACTTTCTATACTTAGTCCAAAATTGATATGATGGTTAAAAGCTTAACTTATAAATTTTTTTTTCAATGAGTTATAATTACACATCAAAAAACAAAATTACAATGACTTAGTTTGTTAACATGGCTCTCACCTCCCCTAAATGATATTGGAGTGACCAATGAACCATGCGGAGATATTGGCTAGAATATGTATATGAGGTAAATATCAAATAACTAAATCTTATAACTCAGAAAATTGGTTTAAATGTGTTAAAAACAATAAATATGTAAAAAAATGTAAATTATTTTTTTCTAAAAATGCTCTTATTTATGGAGAGGCTAAGTGAAAGAGAAAATAAGTTAAAAAAAGAGGTGAAAAACATATAATTAATTAAGAGTAAAAATAAAAAAGTACGTTAAATGATTAGACAAATTCAAATTGTAACTTATTAAAAAAAACAAATCCTTTTAAAAATGTGATGTTTATATTTTGAATCAGATGGAGTACTTAACATTTGGAGTAGTAAATGATATTGGATATCAATTCATTCTAAAAAAATACTCTTGATTGTCAAGACTCAGAACACTTACTATATGTGAATAATAATGTGAAAATAAAAAACTATCGTTAAAGATTAAGGGTGGAAACAGGCCAAGCCAGGCCAGGCTTTACTCTTAATAGGCCAGGCCTGTTTTGTAGCCTATAGGCCTGAGCCTAGCCTGTGACTTGTTACAAGCTTATTTTTCAGCCTGAGCCTGACCTGTATAAAGGCCTGGCCTGGCCTGAAGCCTGTTAAAAGCCTGTTTTTT